GATTCACTTTGCCGATAGAAGTGAATATGCGAGTTCCAGGAAACAGTTCAGAACAAGAAGAAGATGCGATCACTGGAACAAGAATTTTATTTTCCTAACGTTTCGGATTCTGTCGAGAATCCTTACTCATAGGTAACCGTAGCATAGTGTGACACATACCAACAGATAAGGATGAAACATGCGTCCATTGCACGGTATTTATAGTTCGCAGCAGCCATCCGCATGTGTATCAGCTCCTTGGAGTCTTAATTGGTGCGGTCATAGCTTGGCTGTTCGCTTTCGACTGATTAATTGTCGCGATTCATTTGAAATTTAACAGCCGTCTCAACTAGCCGTTGAATTACATTTCAATATTCGTGTACTGATATAGGATCAGTACCTTCGTTTTTGCCTTTTTATGTGCTGAACAGCTAGGCTAAATTAATAAAACTGTATACGCTAATACTGTTTTCTACTTATTGACATGTTTTAGCGGCTGGTCGAGAGGATTAATCCAGAAAAACAGTACAACGGCCCAATCACTTTTATGCGCTTAAAAGTACTATAGTTTGGTTCCCATGGTTCCACGTTTGTTAGTTCGTTCGATATAAGTAGTATAGGCATGCGACTAATTTCAGCTTTCCAATGTTTCCTAGGCGAATGCCTCCCTGGAAGAAATGCCGGGCTTTATCATCCGTCTCGTGCTCGATGACACAACAATAAAGTTTGAACCCTCGCTAGAGGAGTTTGAAAACGTTCTACTTGGTATGTTCGCACAGATGAAGAAGGTGATCGAGGGCATACCTCGGATTGAAACCCGCCTTTACACCGATTGGGTAGGATTTTTTCACAATGATTTTTCCTCAAAAAATTTAATTAGCTAAGTTACAATCCTAACAAACAGTGTGATATTGTTTACGACCTGTGATCACTTTTGGCACAATTAAATAATCGTTAGGAGTCTGGCAGATTTGCTTAATTTGAGTTGACCCAGATGTGAAAAAACTCGAGGCGTTCGGCGGGAGTTGAACCCGCGTATCAGAGAAGGCCTTTACCGGAA